GTATTTCTCATTGTGATCTCTCATTTGCAAATTGACGATTTTGTGCATTATTTAATATTTTGTCCTTCAAATAACATTAACTTTATAAAATTACAAATCAGATGTTATGTCCGGACAGTTACTCTTTAAGTTACTTACTTGAGTAGCGCTTCTCCCAAATACATTTCTACTCTACCCAGTAATTTTTCGGACTTTGTACTTCTATTTGAGTAATCTCATTTAGAACTAATATTACTCCTACTAAGATTAAAGAGGCAATTGGAATACATTAACATAGGTAAGGATTTGGAATACAGACGATTTGCAAGAACCCCGGAAGTTGTAGACCGCGCACCGGCCAATCAGCGAAGAGATGTGAAGCTATGATGTCAAACTCAAGTGTCTGTCTGGATCCCTTTTGTGGTACAGCACAACAGTAAACAAACCGGTCAAGATGGATGTCGACGAAGACATTTTGTGTTGGCAACGATTCCCGAGATCAAGGATTTTCACTGCTTTGTTTGCTGTTGTGCCGGCAATTACATAAACACTACTGAACGTTTCGGCGCATTACATACTTCACGACTAAACAGCAGCGATTGGTTAAATAAAAAAAAGTACCCGCCTACCGTCGAGCAAACAAATCCTAATGCTGCGAGGTCAGACGGTTTCCACGAAGTGAAAACGGCTGAATCAGGCTACATTAACATGCCCACGGGACTATAAATCAGGACGAGGGAGCCTGTCCTGAGGAAGTCATCCCGCAAAAACCTTTCTAAATCAGCTGACCGGACACGTCACAGCAACATCATGTGACCACTCTGAGGAAGTGAGCAGTCCAAACTATCAGGTATGAAAACAAACTCTTGATCTGAAAAAAAGAACCTAATAACATAAATGATCGAAAAACCAAATGAACCTCATTGATCTACAACATTACTCTTACTTGAGTACATTTTTGGCTACTCTAACCACCTCTGGTTATTTGGAAGGGCATAAGGGCAGAACCTCACAGTCTTTAGAGCAACAATTTGCGCAATTCAGTGCGGTATATATAACCCAAAGCCATTGAGTGTAACTATGCATTGTTATTGGTATTGCAGTGAAATGAACCATGGTAGCCAGGACTGAGCGAAATCATTTGTACAAGGGTAGGGGGGACAGAGCCGTTTTGTATGTAGCATATGATTGCCTATTTCTTAAACAGCATGTACCTTACTTCTATTTCTTCTGGCTTAGGTGAATGTTCTTTTTACACCATGCAGTGTAATGTAAAAGCCGCGATTTGAGGGAAAATGGAACTGACTGTGTATTCAGGGATTCATTTTAAAAGCATTTTGTTGGCTCAAAACTGTACAAAGGCAACTTTCAAGGACACTTTTTATGTCCAATCAGACACATTGTTGGATGACGGCCACGTGGAAGCTGTCTGCGATCCCAGACAGTTGTTTGTCTATCAAGGTGCAATATTAGAGCGAAAGAATGAACTAAATGGGTGGAGTTTGATTTAAAAAAAAAACTCTTTTAATAGCTCTTTTCCAGACAAAGTTGCTTTACAATTTCATGCATTATTCACGCACTCCATCTGTGGTGGTAAATTACTCCATCTGGGGTGGACTGACAGGAGCACACACACAGTGGCACCTGGTCTTCCCACCAAGTACTAACCAGACCCAGTCCTGCTTAACGTCTGAGGGCCTGTTTACACCAGAACGCTTGCGGGTAAAAAACAACAAAATATTTTATCGGAAGTGCCTTTCGTTTAGACGGTGACAGCGTTTTGGGGGCTAAAAAATGCAAAAATCTGAAACCACCCTGCAGAGTGGAAAAATTGAATACTCTCCGCCGTAGCATTTCTGTCTACACTGCCCAAGACCCAAAACTGTGGTCAGATCTGCTCACATCGTGTACACGTTTACGTCACATTAGGCCTGTAACGATAACAAATTTTGCTGGACGATTAATTGACCAAGAATTTATTGCGATAAACGATAATATTGACATCTTGAGACCAATTTCAACTGATATAATGACCATGGAATAAAAATGCAAATACATCCTCTCAATGATCAATAAACCTTTCTAAAGAACATTTAAAACAGGAAGTGTAAGACAACCAAAAACAACAGGCCTAAATAAAACAGACTTAACATAGGACTAGTCTAATGTCGTCTGGTTGCCAGCAAGGACTTGTTCACAAAAATGTACCTGAATAAACCACTGTTGAACCAAATACAACCAAAGCATTAATTAAAATGGATTATTAAGTCTCTGTAACAAAATTGCTCTTAAAAGTGATTTTAGTCGTTGACTTACATTGGTGTATAGTGGTCACTCTCTCTGTGGCTGCTGCTGTGAGCCTCGTCATTTTGGTTATTTAAATGTTCACATTAACCCGTGACACAGGATGTTATTCCACTATGAGGGAGCCACTGTTCTGTCTGGTGTCGTGTCAGTTCGGTTTTCGGGTTCAGGTTCTCCCAGGCACTAGGCTAGTTCTGTCGCTCGGGTTTGGGTTTATGTCGGCTGTTCGGGTTTGAGACGTTTCTTCTCGTCGTTTGCGTTTCGCTCGCTGTATTTGACGCATGTGACTGTTGAGACACGTCCCACTCACCAGTGTTGATTCGGCATCGTGACTTGTTTTGGCGATGAACGGAGATGAACTGTTTTGTCACTCTGACAGCGGTGCTAGCTTGTGTTGCTAGCGCACCGCACAGACAGCGGCAGAAAGCACGCAGACTATGTGCGCATCCACTCTGTTGGTCAATACACACGCACGTTGATTAAAGCGTCTTTACGCTTGTTAAACGAGAAGAGTCAGAGAGCGACAGAAGCTTCGAACATTCAATCTCTTTGAGAGCGAGCGAGAAAGAGCGAGAGAGAGCGAGGAAAACAAACAAGCTGCAAATAGAATTTATAGTGGATGGAAAAGTTAACGATTTATTGATTATCGTTACAGGCCTACATCACATACATCACCATCTAGCGTCACTACCTAGCTGCCTGGCATGCATACCCAATCGAATTCCACACACTTTTCCGTTACCGTAGGCACGCAGATTTCCTCCTCATAATGCTCGTCTAAACACGGAATAAAAACTGAAGATGAGACACCACTTTTGCGTCTACTGTTCAGACCGTCATCATATAAACGTAGCCTGAGATCAGGAGGTTCAAAACTATATGTGGAAACTATCCCAGGCATTTATTTGTTTGTCAGAAGTGAGATAAAAGAATGTTCTTCACTCATATATATAGAAATTCTTCATTTTAATTTGTTAATGAACTTTCAGAAGAGTCAGAAGAGACTACTTTTGGAATGCACTTTAAAATACAACAGGTCTGTAACTTCTGTATATTTTGGGTGTGTTTTTTTAATGCTGTTGGGTGTTTTTTTTTTTTTTTTTTTGCCTGGCAACCCTGGTACTCCACTCCAACCAGGGCACATGCCAAACACGTCTCATGTCCAACACACAGTCCTGCAAAGGAGAGATGGTTAGAAGAGCCGGAGGAAAAGTGGTTAGTACAAGTTTGTGTGGAAAAAGGTCTTCACACCAGGCTATATACTGGACTGGGCTGGGCTACAAATCCACCTCCTGAGTCGCTCCCCTTTGATTACCCAGCGGGGGCTTCTGATTGCACCGTGTGTTTCAGACTGACCAGACTGGAACTAAACACTAAGAAAATGGGGAAAAAAACAAAAAAAATAAATAAAAAAATAAAATGCTTTCTTCATTATTTGTCTCCAAACCTAAAATGAAAAAGTGGATGATGATTAGTTTTTTCAGTTTTGGATTTTGTGCCTAATTGAATAATGGAAAAAACAAATAACAGCCATTTCCCGTTGATGTGACTTAAACTGCGATGCTGGACTCTGTGGAACATATGGACTGAACCAGGACTAAACCAGAACTAAACCAGAAGTGAACCAGGACTAAACCAGGTCCAAACCAGGACTACACCAGGACGAAGCTCGGTCTAAACCAGGACTAAACCGGGACTAACCCAGGAGTAAACCAGGGCTAAAACAGGACTAAACCAGGACTAAACTAGGTCTAAACCAGGACTAAAAGAGGACTAAACCAGGACTAAACCAGGACTAAACCAAGACTAAAACAGGACTAAAACAGGACTAAACCAGGACTAAACTAGGTCTAAACCAGGACTAAACCACAAGTAAAACAGGACTAAAAGAGGTCTAAACCAGGACTAAACTAGGTCTAAACCCGGGACTAAACCAGGACTAAAAGAGGACTAAACCAGGACTAAACTAGGTCTAAAACAGGACTAAACCAGGTCTAAACCAGGACTAAACCACGAGTAAACCAGGACTAAAACAGGATTAAACAGGAGTAAACCAGGATTAAAACAGGATTAAACCAGGAGTAAACCAGGACTAAACAGGACTAAAACAGGAGTAAACCAGGATTAAAACAGGATTAAACAGGACTAAACAAGGTCTAAACCAGGACTAAACCAGCACTGAACCAGGACTTAAACAGATCTAAACTAGGACTAATCTTGGACTTGAGAGAGAGAGAGAGAACCCTGACCTCCGGGCTCGTCCCAACACACAGTCCTGGTTCAATTCTAGTTTAGTCCTCCTGGTTCGGTCCTGGGATCAGAGCTGTTTGAGTCCTGGTTGAGTCCTGGTTTAGTCCTGGTTTAGTCTTGTTTTAGTCCTGGTTTAGTTCTGTTTTAGTCCTGATTCAGTCCGTATGAACACAAAATCGAAAACTGGATGAATGATACACAGAAGCATTTTGATGTTTGGAGACGTAGACAGACTAATAATAAAGAGTTACTCAAACATGTGTGAATGAAACAAAACACAACTCCAGGTCTGTGTTTGATAAAGTAACAACATTATAACACGGCTCAAAGCTCAAAAGAATCCATATTTTTATGAATAAAAGGCGTCCAGAGATGATTTTCATTAGTGAGATATGTTTTGATTACATTTCAGTTTCCCCTATGGGCTTCACTTTGCAAACATCGAAGGCGGAGCGTTGCGAGCTCACCTCTTCAGCGTAGGCGTCACACAGCTTGTTCCCAGAGAGCAGCTTGTTCTTCAGGCTCTTGTTCTGAAACACAAACATCGGGTTAGACTCTGCAGGGGGCACAGGCGCACTGAAGAACGGACAGTCTGAGAATTAAAACGGTTTGTTCGAGACTACGATACAGCATCTCCAAACCCCTGAGCTCGCTGAAAATCAGATCATCGCTCCTCATAACAAAACTCGTCTGATCAAAAAAAAACACCTCGGTTCCCTGGGATCCTCTGTCAGAAGCAGCCTCAGAAACCTCGGGTCATAGAAGCCCACTCAAAACAGTGAGTCAAAAATTGCCTTTATTATCGGAGGAATATCTCCAAAGTGCACAAAATGGTCTCGCAGTCTGACCTAGAAAAGATCATTCACGCTTTTATTTCACCGCATCTTGATTATTGTTACTCTGTTTTTACCCATTTTAATAAGACTGCTCTTAACAGACTCCAAATTGTACAAAACTCTGCTGCTGGGCTTTTAACAGAAACTCCCAGAACATGACACATCACCCTGGTTCTTTTGTCCCTCTATTCGCTCCTGTAAAGTTCAGAGTTGATTTTAAAATTTTAGTTGTTACTTTTAGAGCGCTCCACGGCCAAGTCCCCCATCCTGGACCTTTTAACCTGTTGGTGGTCCAAAAAAATCAGGTTTAAAACACTGGGGGACCTGTTCTTTCAGGCTGGAACGCTCTGTCCTTCTCTCCATGTGCCCGACTCTGTGGATTCTTTTAAAAGCAGCTGAAAAGTCCAATGACCTTATTTTGCTTATTGTTGTTTTGTGGTGTACCTGCTCTCTGCAAAGCACTTTTTATGTGGAAAAAACATACAGTTTACTTATATTCATTGTTGGAAAGGTGACTTTTAAAATGTATTCCCCTACAGATTACAGTTTTAGACCTGTTTAGACCTGGTTTAGATCTAGTTTAGACCTAGTTTTAGACCTGGTTTTAGACCTGATTTAGATCTAGTTTAGACCTGGTTTTAGTCCTGGTTTAGTCTTGGTTTAGTCCTGATTTAGACCTGGTTTTAGACCTGCTTAGACCTGGATTAGGTCTAATTTAACCCTGGTTTTAGACCTGCTTTTAGACCTGGTTTAGCCCAAAATGTGACAACAGGAAAATACCACCGTGTAATACATTTATTTTAACAAAGTAACTGTAATCCAAATACCACTCACTGAAACAGTAACTGTAACTGAATACAGTTACTCATAATTTGTACTCTGATTACGTAACTCCGGTACATGTAATCTGTTACTCCCCAAAACTGTTTATACTTACTGACAGTAGAGGAGAGACAAATTATTTCAGCAAGTTCTTATACTATACTGGAATAAATTTCACCAGATTTTCCATGTTTTTCATAGACTCCCAAGTTTGAAAGCTCAGGGCTAATGAGCTATGTGTAACTAATGACCACAAGAACTATAATTGTATGTAAAATCTGTTTCTGAAAACTTTATAAACTGCAAAGTTATTAAAACATTTCAACAAATCTTGTGTTTTAAATTTGCAGTTTGGACTTAAAACAACTGCGTTATGGATATTAGGTTATGTTTACACCGAAACGAATCACTGTATTGGTGTATCACCATATCGAAAACAATTTGCATCCAGACACGTCATTTCTGTGTCTGCAAGTCTTCCCTATCCACACAGCTTTGCACTTATTTGTTTACGTTTTACAGAAACAAAACTTAAAACCACGTGGCTCATTTGCATAAACTAAGCGCTAAAAAAACATGCGGTTCAGCTTCTGTTGGACTTAAAAAGGACATGACTCAGTGGAATATATGTGTTCTTTCTTTGACAGGGGGGTGTTCTGCTAATGGTGACTCTGTTCTGTGCAAGTAGTTCTAGTCCGCTGTACACTGTTTCCCATTTGTCTCTGGTTTGTTTAAACTGTTTTCCGCAGTAGTGTCACATGACCAATGTCACGAACCCAGTGAAGGTGCAAGTCACAGTGACATGGTCCAATAAGGACACAACTAAAGCTCCTACGTCAGTGTATCAATGTTTTCAGGTGTCCACACGGTGCATGATCAGATCTGTACTCAGATGAATTTATGGGAGCTGGCGGCACCAGATCGTTCCATAGGATTAGTGTGAACTGCATCTACAACAAAAACATGTGGAACACGTACTAGTGTGGATGGGGCCCTAAATTACCACTACGGGTGTGCAAAAATATTGAAATATTGATATATACTGTCATGTACTATGATGATACAGTATTGATATCTTGGGCTGCTGTATCGATATATCAGCAATATATCAGAGTATTTTTTGGTATATTTTACAAAATTATTTTGGTACAGCACTACAGTTCTGTTGCATGTTTAGACGAGGGAAACTCATTTATGTGACACATTTGACATTTTCACTGTTCTGATGAGTAAAATAGACGTTTTTCATATGAACTTTGCACAAGAAGTGGTTTAACAAAGACTTTTAGTATCACAGCCATGATTTAGTTTTTACTTTTTATTGAACCGTATTGAATCAATTTGAAATATTTTGTATTGAATCGTATCGAATTGTAAGCTCACTGTATTGAGATATGTATCGTGTCGTGGCTTATGTATCGAGGTATGTATCGTATCGGCAACTTCTGAATGCTACCCAGCCCTAGTTACCACAAAGGTGATGAGCCTCTGTTGTGCCTTCAGTTTGAGGTCAATAGGGAAAAATGAATGGAAATTTCACTTCTGGAACTAGAGCAGACTGTAGAACTCCAGTGGGAGACACAAACATTTATGCAGTATGGTTACTGTAATGTACATTAACGACGTCTGTGACGCAGTGGACAAATGAAGTTGCATTTTATTTGCAGACGACACCAGTCTCTATTGTTCAGTAAAAAACCTACAGCATTTTCTGCACACAGTAGAAAATGACTGTACTAAAATAAAGGAGTGGATCGATATTAATAAACTTTTAATGAATTTGGAAAAAAAAACAAATATATTATCTTTGGAAAGAGAAAAATCAATAATCCAATTAATATTAAAATGAATCAAATAGAAACTGAAAGAGAATCTGTTAATAAATTATTGGGCAAACTTGGCTGGGAAATGCAAATAAGCAAAATTCAGACAAAGCTGGCTAAAATTGTTACTATTATGAGTAAAATGAAAAGACTTTTAAATCAAAATTCCCATTATTTATTGTGTAACTCTATTGTATTCCTTCCATACCTAAACTACTGTGTGGAAATATGGGGGAATATTTATAAATCAAATATAATAAAATGTGTCTACTCCAAAAGAAGGTTATTAGGATTATTAATCATGCAAATTACAATGCACCAACAAATCCTCTTTTTGTTAAGATAAAAGTACTGACATTTTTTTATCTCGTTGACCTGAGTACAACCTTGGTGAGGTACAAGGCCTAGAATTATCTGCTTCCACTTGTTTACAGGAGTTATTTGAGCAGAGAGAGTCAGTATAACCTTAGAACAGGGGTGTCCAAACTTTTTTCATCAAGGGCCACACATCTAAACACAGATGAAGCAGAGGGCTGACTGAGGGCCGTAAACTGGAGCTCAGTACAGGGAATAATTAAAATATGTGCATGTTTAACACGTTGAACGAATGAGCTATCAGTCTTTATTCATGCTAAGATCCTTAAAACCTCACACAAAATACTAAAAAACAAAAAACTTGTAGTAAAAAGTACATTTTTAATGGCATGTAATTTGGGCCAATTCACCTGCAAGCCAAGAAAAATTTGTCTGAGGACCACATTTGGTGCACGGACCATAGTTTGGACATGCCTGCCTTAGAAAAACAGGCAAAAAATGAAGATAGGAACTAAGAAAACCAAGTAGTTTTATTTCCGTTCGAGGGGTTAGTTTATGGAACAACCTAAGTGATGATTTTACAAAGTCTAACACTGTAGAAGCCATAAAAATAAAAATAAAAAAGAGTATAAAGCGTTATATTTTCAAAGATATAGAGATCTGGAATGAATGAATTATGGATTAAAATTTGTTTGTTTTAATTTATATTTTGACTCTTATATATACACTAAATTGTAAATTAAATTGTAAATGCAAACTTGCTTTAATCTGGTTTGGCATTATAAGTACTTTTTACTTCAGCCTAAACCAGGGGTGGGCAAACTACGGCCCGGGGGCCATATGCGGCCCTTTAAACCTTTTAATCCGACCCGCCTAACTTGAATAAATTATAGCAGTAAACCTTGTTAAAGTTTTATTTTTCCTGCATTTCCGGCGTTTCCCAGTAGATGGCGCACTATATATACATTGAGATGTGGCGTATTATATTGGCCGCAATGCGTTACGGGAAAGTGTTCTTTCGGACTAGCTAGTGACAGGAGTCATTCTTGGTCGGTGTATTTGGACCATGAATGAGGTAGATGTGTTCAAGACATAAGGCTGCACTGTTTCTGTTCTGAATAGGGTGAAAGTAAAGTTGAAAGGGTTCTGAACTGCATGTTACGTAGTCTTTATGCATAAATGTTGAAGAAGTGAATGAAGTGTTCATCCATCTGCTCCTGGTCCGGCGCTTCCCTCAAATTTTAGAACCCTTTGTGCCCCCCTGGCCTAAACCCTTTCGGTCATGATGTATGGGACTGTAGACTGTTTAGTTTAGTCTTGTTTTGTAGAGTTGCAAAATGATCAAATAAACTACTACTACTATTACTACTGCTACTACTACTACTACTACTACTACTACTAATCACTGCACTGATCCCTAAAATAATATATAATAATAATATAATATATGTAATAGAATTTGTTTCACATTTTTGGACACATCGTGCTTTCTGTTGGCCTTTAATGGCATTCACACACATTTTTCTTCACCTTTGGCATTCGTAGTTAATGTTTTAGAACTTTAAACACACTTCAAAAGCAGGGTCCCTATTTCCAGATGATTAGATCTGAGTCACAGCTCTCTCTGTGGACAGCCAGAGCCATGAACCATAAACAGTCTTTAGCAGCCATTTAGCGGCCTAACCGGCGAGCTAACATGTCCGTGTGTTTGTAGTGATTGCAGTTCGAGAGCAG